TTCCAGAGGAAAATGAGTAACTTTTTTCTACGGGATTAATCTCTAGCTCGTTTTTTATTGTCTTTTCTGTTAAACTTTCTACAGCAGTTGTATAAACAGGTAGGTAGGGAATCTCTATCTACACATGTGAATTACATTACCTGGTGTACATTTAGTTTAACAGACTGACACTTATAAGCACATAAAAATCATTTTACATAGTACGCTGCAAAATACGTTGACTCCTCCTCCGCGTCACCCCTGAAGTGCCTCCTCCTCTATCCTTCCCATCACTTTCATTGCCCTCTGTCTCAGTTGCATTGTTTTTAGGCTTGCCTCTTCCAAGCAGCGAAGTAATTGCTTTGTTCCGAGCATTTGTGCTAGCTGACACGTCTCCATCGTCTTCCTCTTCATCAGGATCCAAATGTTCCATAAGGAGCTTCAACTATGAAAAAAACAGATTGATCCACATTGTAACTTTAGAAATACACATTTATATGACATTACATTAAATAAAAAACAAGTGGTAAGGTAAAGAAACAGGGTAAAACAAATGGCAGACAACTGCAAACTTGAACAGCTTATGTTTTGTTCTACAAACTTGTTCCTTTCCTCTCTTTTTTTAGTAGATATGTAAAAGCTTTTTACCTGTGGTTCAAAAATTGCAAGTTTCCTCTAATCGATATTGGGGGGAGAAGGAAGGGGCAGTAAGGGGCAGGCAGTAACTACACTAGATCTAGTCTCTGTTCCTCTGGTGGAAACAGTCAGGGATAAAGTGAAAAAGTTATATGGGCGAGGTATACAAGATGGAGAGCAGAAATTAGGAAGTACTCGATAACCATGAATATCCTTTAGTTGAAGCTAATTTTCATTGTCTTTAAACTTATTAGAAGTCTTTGAAAGATAGTCCTGCTAAACATCCCGAAAGGAAGTGGTGAGTTATCAGTATATTGCATAAGATTACAGGAACTTAACGTTCTGAAATGCTCATCCAGTACGTCAGCATCTGCTTTCAAGTTTATACTGTGCTACCTAGTTTGAAAGGATTTCGGGTCTGCTGCAAAGCAACTTGACTTACATCCAAGTACTGTTTTACTATACTCCTCTTCACTTCTTCAGTGATCTTGGAATTAGCCATATCACTCCGCAGAAAATCCAGAGTTTGTTTTGGATGGAAATGCACTCCTGTCTTCCTGTTTATCGCTTTATCATAAACCTTTGCAGATTCAGATGGAGAGTATTTCTGAATTTTACTGTTTAAAGAAAACAAAGGGAAGAGCTTTCAAGGAAAGTCCAAAGTAACTTCAAGGAAGAGCTTTAAAAATATTCAGTATAAGCAGTTATATTTTAAGCAATCCATATACAATAGACAACCTGGTAAGAAATGGAAGTCATTGCTTTTTCTAAGCCAAAGTTTCATTACGTTCAACTTACAACATTTATGTTTTTTCTCTTACACAAATCTATTGCTTAAACAATTAGTTACAATCACCTTTTAAAAAAAACTTCCAAATGTGACCCTTACAGAGCACTCGCTAGATAACAAGATGGCCTATAATCTCAATACCCTTACCTATCAGAGAATCCACAGAGGTTCTTTAAATGCTGCTTCAGCATCAAAAGTAATAATATGCCTTGGGAGACATTGGCAAATTCAATTAAAGGAGCTGAATTTTCTGGTAAACATTTCATCACAGCATTTATGTCATTTTCTTCATCGGAATCTGAATCAGAGTCTACTCGTTTCCGTAACCTCCGAGGCTTAGAAGCTTCCTCAGCACTTTCGCTCTCACTACCACTTTTACTGTCACTCTCAGTTTCCTCATCTGATGATGGTTTTCTTTCCTTTTTTT